CAGAGACTGCAGACCTAATAGAGGAAATGAGGGTCAGAGAGTGTGGACATACTACATTTTTGGCTGGGGATATGCTGCTGAAGACGATATGAAACTGGGAATATGTTACACGAGGCTTGTAGAGATCAATGCTATTATCCTAAACCAGGGGTCTTGAATTCAAATTTACGGAGGTCCGGTCAGCAAAATTTCCTTCCAGCAGAGTTCCGAATCTCGTTAGCTATATAACACATCACAGTCCCCCGGCACATTATCATCTTTAGTGTACCTTTCACACTAGTCCCCCTACATCACAGTCCCCCTCTTTAAAGAAGTCCCACAGTGTTCTCAGTTCCCCTTCACTGCCCCCCTTTAAACATCACAGCGCCCTTTAACATAACACAGAACCCCTAACACAACACACAGCACCCCTTAACACAACACAGCACCCCTTAACACAACACAGCGCCCCTTAACACAACACAGCGCCCCTTAACGCAACACAGCGCCCCTTAACACAGCACAGCACCCCTTAACACAGCACAGCGCCCCTTAACACAGCACAGCGCCTCTTAACACAACATAGCACTCCTTAACACAACATAGTGCCCCTTAACACAACGCAGTACCCCTTAACACAACGCAGTACTCCTTAACACAACATAGCGCCCCTTAATGCAACATAGCACCCCTTAACACAACACAGTGCCCCTTAACACAGCAGAGCGCCCCTTAACACAACATAGCACTTCTTAACACAACATAGCACCCCTTAACACAACGCAGGACCCCTTAACACAACACAGTACTCCTTAACACAACATAGCGCCCCTTAATGGAACATAGCGCCCCTTAACACAACACAGTACCCCTTAACACAACACAGCGCCCCTTAACACAACATAGCACTCCTTAACACAACATAGCGCCCCTTAACGCAACATAGCACCCCTTAACTCAACATAGCACCCCTTAACGCAACACAGTACCCCTTAACACAACACAGTGCCCCTTAACACAACACAGCACCCCTTAACACAACATAGCACCCCTTAACCCAACGCAGCGCCCCTTAACATAACACAGTGCCCCTTTTAATGCAATCCATCCCCTGCACAGTCCTATGGTACCTGAGGCAGAGCAGAGGCACTAATCCTTCTGAGGTGTCCTCTCCTGGTCCTCCAGCCCGCCACCGATGTCATCTTCATAGCGGGTGGGGGTGGGAGGAGTTGCAGATCGGGACTCGGGGGCGGGAGCTGCCCAAGTTCTTATAGTAACCAGTGGGTGATTGCCTGGCTTGCTAATATGAAAAGACTCCCACTTTCTGTCTCGAGCTGCAGAGAGCTGAAGTCTTTACATATTAACAAGCTGGGTAATCACTAACTCCCGCCCCTCAGTCCTGATTTGCAGCTCTTCACACCCCGCCCACTGTGAGGATGATATCAATGTCTGAGTGAGAGGTCCGGAAGAGGATACCCAGCCGTGGCAGTGGCATGGCTCCGGTCCAGACAGGACTGTTCCTCGGTCCGGTTCCAGACCGTGGTCCGCCATTTAATGACCACTGCCCTAAACAATGTTCTCACTACAAATTGCTGAGGTCCGAGGGCTGCACATCATGTGCCAAAGAATCTCAAGTTGGGCACCAGGGCTTTAATCCATGTACCATGATTGTCACTGGTAACATATGATGGCCCTTGTACAGTTCTGTTGTCTGATGCCTGTCACTGCCAACAATTTTGGCATTTGGATTGGCCATTTAGAGAATGCATTTGGGTTTTTAACCAAACAATTCCACATATTCCTGTTTTCCAATTGATTGTAGATGTACCATAAATAATGATGAATGATTCCCAAATTATTTATCATTTCTTGATTGTAAGCGTTATGCACACTGGCAGAACGACAACTTGTCCAACTGACAACAGAATGGCAAAAGTGGGCACAAACCTTTGGGACCACTTTCGTGGGATTATGGCCGCCCCCCGCCCCTCCCCTCTCAAATGGGCTTGTTTGTAGTGTTAAATGGTGGGTTTGTCATGTGTGGGGAAATTTGGTGTTGGCTCCTTTAAATTTTGTAAAGCAGAATTCCTGGGATCCAACCGGGAGTCATGGACGATTCCAGAGCATTGGCTGACAGGATATAAGGGGCATCTGGATCATTTGGATCAGTGGTCAGAGCTTTTTTTTGTCGCGTGCACTTTGTGGTGCTGTCACCCTGGAGTCAGGGGACGTTTTCAGAAGTGCAGATCAGGGGCGGACTGACAACTCATGGGGCCCCCGGGCAATAGGGGATCATGGGGCCCCTGTATCCTTACCCAAACTCATAAAAGCCTATGAAAAAGGTACCAGGGGCATCTCATGGGGCCCCCTACTGTCCCCGGGCCCTCAGGCAGTACCCGAGTTTCCAAATGGTCAGTCCGCCCCTGGTGCAGATGTTTTATGTGATGGCTTGAGTTACAATAACTGAGCCAGAAGAAGGTGTTTTATTATATTTTGCATGTTTGAATTTCATCAAAGGTTATTGTAGTTTTGTACAACACCAATACCAATGTTTATTTTGTGTAACACCAATAAAGTGCCGCTGCCATTTTTCGCCACAATCTGCCTAATGGTTTCTTTCTTAATGGTTGTATTTGGGGAATGTTCAGGTCATGGAGGTGGGCTGCGTTCTGCAATCCCAACCTTTCATTGATAAGCAGTTGATTATGGTTGTCAGAAGAATGTATTTTACACCATGAAGGAAAATCATTTTGATCAATTTTCTATTAGTTCTGGTTGCAATTAGTCATCTGCTTATCATTCATATCCACCAAATTGTTGTTGCATGGTGTGAGCAGGCTGTCTGTGTATCTGAGGCACAAGGCTTTTGTAACAACTCCAATGTGATATTAGTGACTAGGTGAAAACTTATTCTAGGACCACATTTGATGACAATTGTATTGGAACCTGAACAGTATGAAGCATAATAATACAGCACAGATATTAATAAACTGGATATTTTAGTGTGTGTTGTAAAGTGAGTAAGCATGCTGTGCAGATGGTAGAGTACTTTCTCCTACGTAAGCCGTGCCTCCGTTCAGGCGCTTCTTGCCAGCTTGCGCTTCTGTTCTCAAATTTCTTGGCTGGAAGTGTTGGCGTGGAGGTGAGCACTTTGCCTGTCAGTCCTTCTATTTACAGTCCCTGTGGCAAAGCTGAGAGGCTTGTTGAATCATCGTGGTATAGACATCCTGGCAGAATGGCATTTGGATGGTGTCAATATAACATGAGTCGTATTCTAATGCATTGTTTGTAAAGATAGCAAGACTTCTTATCCTTTGTCATTTCCATAATTAGCTTTATAGATATTGTAAAGCGCTGAGCAAACTGTTGGCACTATATAAATCCTCTATAATAATAATAATAATACATACAGGCAATCGTATGGTCTGCCAATCTGAATCCAAACGCTTTATCACTTTCCATTATTTAATACATATATGACTGTGATGTATGGCCTTTTTTCAGGTATAAAACGTTTTGTGTGTTTGTTTAATGGTTTTCCAAGCATCATAATTTGTATCCTTGAAATATTAACGGGGTAAATGTATTTCACGCATGAGATGCTTCCCGATTGTGATGTGTTTTTATTACATTAACACACTATACAATGAAGCAGCGTAAAATGCAGAAGAAATGAGGGCTTGAAATGGATCTTCTTCAAAGAAGCATTGTTTGTTCATTAAAAATATAATTGACAACTGGCCAGCCTTGTATGAGACCCGGTCACACTGGATGCGATTTGCATATCGTATGCCAAATCACAGCCTATTGTCCAAAATTAGAGCGGTCATATCGGCGCGGTTCTGACTTGGTCGGAGCAGCACCAATTTCTAAAGTAGTACATGCACTACTTTTGGTGCGATCTGCATAGATATGTGTATGAGATGTCTTGCAAATCGCACCTGAAATCGGCATGTCATCCGACTTTGAAATCATGCAACTTCATTGTAAGTCACATGATTTCAAAGCAGGGTTTGATGTGACCGGGGGGTTAAAGTAGTACTAAAGTCTCATCTTTTTTAACAGGAACAATTTAGTGTAGGTATGCAAGAGAATAAACCATTTCTTCCCGAAAAGTTCAGAAACACATTTTTATGTATTTACAGCCACATCCTCAGAGTAATCACTAGTTCCCCTGAGAATGACCTGTTGGGGATTTTGTGCACACTTTTCTGAACTTCCAGATGGGAAAGCGAACGTTCATAACATCACCTGTCACAAATCTCAGGACTATATGTCCCATCATTCTTTGTGCCAGTGGGTGTCCTTGCAGCCATAGAATTTGTCCAACGTGGGGACAGTGCCCATGGGTTTTGGCAGAGGACTTTTAGGACTAAGGACTATATGCACAGGAAGTTTTAGGACTACATACACAAGGCCTGCCTGTGCTCCTCCAAGGGAAGCGATTGACAGTGGCCCTTGAGGCATTGCCTCTGAAGCTGCTGTCATTCACTTCCCTTGGAGGAGGAATAGAGGAATATCTTCTGTGTGTTGTCCCCTCGGGCTGTCCTGTCGCCTTTTTGGGCGACAAGCTTTGCGCAATGCGGTTTGCTGCGATTGTAGCATGATGTACCGCACTGCATTTTAGGTGCCTTTGAAAATCAGTTGCACCGCATGTTGCGATTTGTCATGTTTGCACAGCGTTTAGGAATTGCGATTCAAAATGCCCTGATGTGAACAGAGCCTAAGAAGGCCAGCTGAAATTGGGGGGGCAGGAACAACTTTGTTACATCAAGAAGTAGCAGCATCCATTGAAAATGTTTACCTCAGCAGTAGAAATTGCAAAAAAGGCTTTAATATCGCTTTACGTGTACAGTACATAAATGTCTTCAGTCATTTTTATGATGGAACCCTTCTGAAAAACCCTGCGTTCACCTGATGTTGGAGTGGAAATTCCTAGTTATAAGGACAAGGGTGATCTCATGCTGAGCTGGTGCAGCAATGGTTTGGTTTATGGACAGATAGGGGCGGACTGACAACTCATGGGGCCCCTGGGCAATAGGGGATCATGGGGCCCCTGTGTCCTTGCCCAAACTCAAAAAAGCCTATGAAAAAGGTACCAGGGGCATCTCATGGGGCCCCCTACTGACCCCGGGCCCTCGGGCAGTGCCCGAGTTTCCAAATGGTCAGTCCGCCCCTGTGGACAGAGGTCTCCTGTTCATATATACACGGATTGGATGTGGTGTGAAATAACATTGCTTCCTAGGGTTAGTTTCTCATGGTGAAGTATTTGCTTTAACCACTTCAAGTCCGGACACTTTTACCCCCTTCCTGCCCAGGCCAATTTTCAGCTTTCGGCGCTATCACCCTTTGAATGACAATTGCGCAGTCATGCAACACTGTACCCATATGAATTTTTTAACATTTTTTTGAGACAGATAAAGCTTTATTTTGGTGCTTTTTATTCACCACTGGGATTTTTATTTTTTTTTTTGCTATATAAATGAAAAAGTCCAAAAATTTAAAAAAAAAAGTGTTTTTCTTATAAAATTTAGCAAATTAATAATATTTCATCATAAATCTTGGCCATCATTTATTCAGTTATCTTTTTAGTGAAAAAAATAACCCAAATTAGTTTATAACCAAAAATTATAATTTAAATTTTTTTTTTTATATTATGTTGTTTTTTGTTTTGTTTTGTTTTTACATACTGTCACCCTATCAGTACAGTGTCACCATGGTGACACTGTACTACTTGTGGGGGGTGATGAAGATTTATTTTTTTACACTGATTGGTTTTACACCCATAAAGGCTGTAAAAGCAATCATTTCTCCTTCTCTCTGGCTGCATTCTTGCAGCCATTGAGAAATACTGTGTGAGCTGTGATTGCTCACAGCCTGTCACATGGTACAAGGCTGTTGTGAATAGCCTTGTACCATGTGATCTCTGTGACATCTTTCTTACTACTCTGCATGTGATCACTGATTGGCCACTCAGTGATCACATAATCGGGACCTCGCACAGAGGTCCCGTACGATAATTTGTGTTCCACTGTGTGGACACAGCGGGCTCCGGATCGTGGTGCTGCGCACTCCCAGGGAGGGCGCACAAGCAGGGGGCGGGGAGGCCATTTATAAATGGCCACCCGACCCTGCACTGCCACCGTCCGGCCGTTTATATACATGGACCGTACGGGAAGTGGTTAAAGTGTATCCAAAACTTAAAGTGGTTCTAAAGGCAGATTTTTTTTTTTTACCATAATGCATTCCCTGCGATAAGGTAAAAAATGTCTCGGTATTTGTATCGCCCCCACCCCCTTTATCCTATCCTGATTCAGCACTATACCCGACTGCAGAGCCGCTGGTCTGTTTTCTCTCCTCACAGGACACAGAGGCAGCTTGGGAAACCATTGGTTCCTGCTGTCTGTCAAATCCTTTGGGGTGGGGTGGGGTTGAGCAGCGCAGTATGTGTCTGTGGATGCACACAACCCAGCTCAGCAGTGAGCCCGCATATACCCTCCCTATAGCAAGAGACTTACTTTGGTGGCGCACGCAGAAGAGGAGTAACCTAGAGCACCAGCGGAGGGCCCCAGAAAATGAGGTTCGTGGTCGCATTGTGTAATATCATTGCAAAGAGCAGGTAAGTATAACATGTTTGTTTTTTTAGCTTTAAAAGTGAAAGCCTTTACAACCACTTTATATACACTGTTCAGAAAAATGAAAGGAACACTTTTTAATCAGAGTATAGCATCAATTCAGTTAAACTCCTGGGATATTGATTTGGTCAGTTAAGTAGCAGAGGGGGTTGTTAATCCGTTTCAGCTGCTTTGGTGTTAATGAAATTAACAACAGTTGCATTAGATGGGCAACAATGAGACGACCCCAAAAACAGGAATGGTTTTACAGGTGGAGGCCACTGACATTTAGGGATTACATTTACTTTAAGCTAACTATAGACATCAGATGTTTTTCCAGAGGTCTCGCTCAGATTGCTTGCATGTACAATCTTATGTCTGTGGAGTAGAGAGTGTAACACGGCCAGACATCACTGACATTGGCATTATATCAGGGAACCAACAATGATCAGGCAATAAATCTAAACAGGGTAATCGCTAGTTCCCCTGAGAATGACCTGTTGAGGATTTATGCCTCTACCCACACAGCCCGCCAACCAATCTGGCCAAAAAAATGTGCTGTATCTTGCACATCAACATTGCCCGTGTATGGATTCATCAACTTAAGCAAATAGTATTAATTCCAATCCTTTTTATACACGGCTATCTTCCTGACCCAATCACAGCCTGTCCTTTAAATGACCTCCATGATGCCTCTCCTGTCATGTCCCTTGTGGCTTTACTGTGTAGAACTCCAAGCCATCTGTGCCCATCAGTGTAATTGCAGGGATTGCTATAACCGAGCATTTCCTCCCCACAGTGTCCACCTTGCTGAGATGCCTTGAGACTCTGGAGCAGGCCAACATCTGTCTGCCTGAGAATTGTCTCTACTGTCATTCGATTTAACCCATTTTGAGGCAGGATCATTGCAAACTGTCACATTATTGACAATTATATTTAATTCCAAGTGTGCTTGTTGCAGTAATTAAAATAATTGCGGCCATCAAATCTTATCAAAATGCGGATGCACAAAAAATGTGATTTCTCTAATTATATGGCTCCATAAATAGTCCATTCCTACCTTTTTTATCTTATTTTTCATGTTGGTGCTCTAAAGTTGCACCGTGAATATTGTTGTGTGAGCTTCATTTTTTAATAATGAAATAATCAAGTCTGTTTTCATGGTTCCCTTTCACACACATGTGACCCCATCAGGTACTAGCTAGGCTGTTCTATACAGGTGAAACTCAAAAAATTAGAATATCGTGCAAAAGTTCATTTATTTCAGTAATGCAACTTAAAAGGTGAAACTAATATATGAGATAGACTCATTACATGCAAAGCAAGATAGTTCAAGCCGTGATTTGTCATAATTGTGATGATTATGGTTTACAGCTCATGAATACCCCAAATCCACAATCTCAGAAAATTAGAGTATTGTGAAAAGGTGCAATATTCTAGGTTCAAAGTGTCCCACTCTAATTAGCTAATTAAGCCATAACACCTGCAAAGGGTTCCTGAGCCTTTAAATGGTCTCTCAGTCTGGTTCAGTAGGAATCACAATCATGGGAAAGACTGCTGACCTGACAGTTATGCAGAAAACCATCATTGCAACCTTCCATAAGGAGGGAAAGCCTCAAAAGGTAATTGCAAAAGCAGTTGGATGTTCCCAAAGTGCTGTATCAAAGCACATTAATAGAAAGTTATGTTAAAGGAAAAAGTGTGGAAGAAAAAGGTGCACAAGCAGCAGGGATGACCGCAGCCTGGAGAGGATTGTCAGGAAAAGGCCATTCAAAAGTGTTGGAGACTTTCACAAGGAGTGGACCAAGGCTGGAGTCAGTGCATCAAGAGCCACCACACACAGACGGATCCTGGACACGAGCTTCAAATGTTGTATTCCTCTTGTCAAGCCGCTCCTGAACAACAAAAAACGTCAGAAGCGTCTTACCTGGGCTAAAGAAAAACAGACCTGGTCTGTTGCTCAGTGGTCCAAAGTCCTCTTTTCTGATGAGAGCAACTTTTGCATCTCATTTGGAAACCAAGGACCCAGAGTATGGAGGAAGAATGGAGAGGCACACACTGCAAGATGCTTGAAGTCCAGGGTGAAGTTTCCACAGTCTGTGTTGATTTGGGGAGCCATGTCATCTGCTGGTGTTGGTCCACTGTGCTTCATTAAGTCCAGGGTCAACGCAGCCGTCTACCAGGAGATTTTGGAGCACTTCATGCTTCCTTCCGCAGACAAGCTTTATGGGGATGCTGACTTCATTTTCCAGCAGGACTTGGCACCTGCCCACACTGCCAAAAGCACCAAAACCTGGTTTAATGACCGTGGGATTACTGTGCTTGATTGGCCAGCAAACTCGCTAACCTGAACCCCATAGAGAATCTATGGGGCATTGCCAAGAGAAAGATGAGAGACATGAGACCGAACAATGCAGAAGAGCTGAAGGCCGCTATTGAAGCATCCTGGTTTTCCATAACACCTCAGCAGGGCCACAGGCTGATAGCTTCCATGCCACGCTGCATTGAGGCAGTAATTGCTGCAAAAGGGGCCCAAACCAAGTACTGAGTACATATGCATGCTTATACTTTTCAGAGGTCCGATATTGTTCTATGTACAATCCTTGTTTTATTGATTGCATGTAATATTGTAATTTTCTGAAATTGTGGATTTGAGGTTTTCATGAGCTGTAAGCCATAATCATCACAATTATGACAAATCACGGCTTGAACTATCGTGCTTTGCATGTAATGAGTCTATCTCATATGTTTCACCTTTTAAGTTGCATTACTGAAATAAATGAACTTTTGCACGATATTCTAATTCTTCAAGTTTCACCTGTAATACATAAAGAATATGCTTTCTTACATAATTTTGTATATAAATATTTCAGAAAACATTTCCAGGACCTTTCTCAGTGATACATTTTTTGCAAGTTTTGTTTATTGTTGCATTAATAATCCTAGTGCTGTAAAAGAAAAGTTATTACAACCCACAAATCGAATTCTCCCTCCAGGATAGTTATGGTAATCACATTTTTCCACGTTTCATGAGCGTTAGCATTCTTGTCCTTGCAAAAGTACTTAGAAATTGTGACACAAATGAACTAAGGTCCAACACTCAACATTAAAGTGTTTTTTTTTTCTCCATCTTTAAATGAATATATTACTAAGTGGGCTTTAAATTAGGAAGAAATACCAATCAAGGCATAGACACCCCAGTCAAAAGTAACCACCATACCACCAAAAAGTATTGCTTTTTGATTGGGGTGTCTATTCCTTGATCAGTATTCTTTGACTACCTGGACCACGCACAATTTGTGCGAGCTCGGCACACAGGAGGTTATCAATTAATCTAGTGCTTCTCTTTTTGATGTTTGGGCTTTAATAAAGGGTCTATTGGGGAAGTCAGTAGATAGATCGTTATCTAAACAAAAGACTTGATGCATTAAAATGTATTTAAATCTAAACATCAACATTATATAAACTGGAGGGTGTTGTCCTTTAAACTAGTAAAGCATAACCTTTTGTTATTTCACATGCAATGTATTCAGTATATCATGTGGATCCTGCAAAGTTGTTGCTGTGAGAATGCCATCTGCTTTTCCAAAGTGACAACACTCAATGCACTGCCTCCAGTCTAAATGATCCTACAGATGGTCTAGAACTGTACATGCCGATAAACACAGTGCCAGCAAGTACCACTGTTATCACCAAAAGTCTACCCATCATTCTTTATATGCCTCCTAGATTGTAAGCTCCAAGGAGCAGGGCCCTCAAACCCCTCTTGTTTTAAACTGTATTGTTGCTGTATTGTCTCCCGTTATATTGTAAAGCGCTGAGCAAACTGTTGGTGCTATATAAATCCTGTATAATAATAATAATAATATGCCCTGTAGGGTAGAAATGATGAGCCACTCATGATTCATTCCTTTCTCACCCTTGGCCTGCAAACAAGGGAGCAGTCACCTGGCTGCCACAAAAAGGTGTTAAAAAGGTATTTAGATGCTTATTTGGGTGTAATTTACTCAGCATTGCTCTATTACTTCACAACATTGTCTCTTTGTTTCGTGTATAGGTCACATCATTGTTAAAGCTTAGTTACCCTACATGCAAAAAGTGTCATCTCAAGTGTTCTTGTCAGTGAATACAATGTGTGGTAATACTGCATTATTCATTAAGGAGTGAAAAGTTTATTGACATGCAACTTAACTGCCCCTTGTTAAGAAAAGATAGTCTGGTACCCCTACTCCATGAACTGCTATAGAAGTCTTCTGAACCCCTACCACAGCGCAAAAAAGGTAGGGAAAAAAATAGTCGCTGTTTTAAATATCTGGGGTAAAGTTTAGGGGGATGCAGATGCCCAGTGTTTTTGCACACTGGTTTTCACAAATAATTTTTGGTGATTCCTACAGTAGAAATTACTTTAGTTATTTAACTAGTATCATGTCTAGCATTTTCAAGGAATGTTGTCTTAAAACATGCGATATTCAGCTGCACATTTTCAAAAAATTGTATGTAAATTAGCAGATTTCTCATTAAACAATGGTATGATCTAGTCATTATCATAACAAAAGGTGCATCGCCATTTTTCTTCTAAAGCCAGCCATAGATGATTTGAATCTTGGCCAGTTCAGCAGGGACTGGTCGAGATTTGATCCTTCTATGGTCAGGTTGTTTGTACCCAAGTCGATCCATCGATCAACTTGGGCACAACCTGCCCATCAATTTTTTTTTAACATAGCCACTAGCAGTAATCATTGTGTTTTTCCAGCAGTGAAGTCTTGCTGGCAGAACACAATAGCGCTGTGAAAGGGATGCCCCCGTCAACACTTACTGTGTTGATGGGTGAATCGTGTGATTTATTTTCTTTCCACTCATGGTGGAAGGAAAGAAAATCGCATAATTTGTGGGCTGCTGAAGAGGAAGGAGTTGTTCGTAGGTCGTAAAGATTTTCCAGTATATTGAAAGATTTCTGAAACAGTTTATGAGCACTCATAAGTGCTCACTATCATAAGTGATGCTTGGATCCAATGCATTGTTTGTAAAATCAACCCATGTGTATTTGCACTTGGCTGTACCCATATATATATGGGTCTCTAAAACTGAAGCAAAACACATTTGTTCAGTAACTGAATAATGTATGGGGTGTGAGCCTTCATAACAAACTATCAGTGCTGGCTGAACAGAAGGAACCCCTGCATGGACTAAAATTGTTTCACCACAGACGATTCTACCAATGTCATATACCTGGGTGGAGTGAGTGAAGACTACTAGCCTATAACTTACAAAGATCGCTTTTAGAAACCTCTAGGAGCAAGCATAGGTGAGCTTCTGTTGGATTGCCACTGATAGTATTGTTTTTGTAAGTGATGTGACCAAGCCATCGGTACAATTTTTGGCTTCCAAAATCAGATCTAGTTTTTGTGCGAGAGCAGAAGTTTTCAGTACTTGTTTTCCCATATATGAGTCATATGTACTACCCATATTTCGGTGTAACATCAAGCACTACATTATGTCATACTATTACCTTGCCTGATTCCCAATCCTACAGTAGTCAAAATTCTAGTTTCTGTATTATCACTCCAAAAAAAGTAATGCATCAAAACAAATCAATGTCATAATTTGTGTTCAAGAAAAAAAAAAATTCTTGCTAAAATTTTATATGGCAAAGAAATGATGTTGGGATTTATGTGCTAGCACAACTGACCCATCATAGTGTTGCTAGCGTCAGTTGCACCATGTGGGTATATTCATGAGAGAAACCTGAGGATCATGTGAGCATCAGTTGTTTTAGGTTGTTGGGAAATCTCAAAGGACAATAAATCCCTTTTTTAAGGATTGTTGGGATTTATGTGCTAGCACAACTGACCCAGTGGGCTTTAAAATAGGAAGAAATACCGATCAAGGCGTAGACACCCCAGCCAAAAGTAACCACCATACCTTGGACCTATGCAGCATTGCTTTTTGATTGGGGTGTCTATTCCTTGATCAGTATTGCTTGGTATTGTTTGACCACCTGGACCACGCACAATTTGTGCGAGCTCGGCACGCAGGAGGTTTTCAATTAATCTAGTGCTTCTCTGTTTTGATGTTATGGGCTTTAATAAAGGATCTATTAGGGAAGTCAGTAGATAGATTGACATATAAACAATGTACTTGTGTATAACCTACGAAGGTCAATTTTAGAAACCTCTAGGAGCAAGCATAGGTGAGCTTCTGTTGGATAGCCACTGATTGTATGGTTTTTGTAAGTGATGTGACCAAGCCATCGGTACAGTTTTTGGCTTCCAAGATTAGATCTAGTTTTTTGTGCGAGGTGTGCGATCTTGTTTTTGGCTGGGTGTTTATGCCTTGATCGGTATTTCTTTCTATTTTAAAGCCCACTTCATCAGTTGTGCTAGCACATAAATGCCAACATCATTTCTTTGCCATATAAAATTTTAGCATACCATTACCTTGCCTGATTCCCAATCCTACAGTAGTCAGAATTCTAGTTCCTGTAAATCAATGTCATAATTTATGTTCGACAAAAAAATCTTGCTAAAATATTATATGGCAAAGAAATGATGTTGGAATTTATGTGCTAGCACAACTGACCCATCAGAGTGTTGCTAGTGTCAGTTGCACCAGGTATAAACATGAGGATCATGTGAGAATCAGTTGTTTTAGGTTGTTGGGAAATCTCAAAGGACAATAAATCCCTTTTTTAAGAAAAGTGTAAATCATGTATGCACCACTGCATTGAGGTTGATATACTAAAGGCAAATAACCTGTTCATTTTGCCAGGGAAGTTGCACATTGCAAGATAATTGAGTGGTGGTGACTCTCCTGTCTTCTATCAACCAGTTTACATGCCAGTAGAAATGCTGTTTTTATATTTTTCCTTGCATGTGATTGGGTGCTTTTTGCAAATTAAACTTTTGCTACATTCACAAAGCTCTGGGGAAAATTTACTTGCAAAGTGAACAGCCTATTTGCCTTTAGTAAATCAACCCCGTTGTGTCAGCTGAGTTGCAGATTACTATTGAGGCATGTTCAAAAACAAGCAAAAATAGGCCTGTTTAGTGCATTTGGCCACCTTGACATTGGTAAAATGCTAGCCTTACAGCTTTCTGCAGTTTGTTGATTTAAAATCCTATATCACCATTACGATTGTTTCTCTAGAGCTTTGCACAGCAATCAGTTTCACATTGTGAAAATTCTTCCATTGTATAATCGAGCAATCTGACACTGGTCTATGCACAACAGCAGCAGCTAATTAGTTATATTATCTACCCATTGTTTTACTGCACTGTGGAAAAGAAAAAAAAAAGAATGACAAACCATCAAGACTTTAGGGATGAAAGCTACTGAGATAATAACTACAATTACACAGTCTGTGGACTGTTATTGTAACAGTAAAAATTGGCACTTTTGGGCAGCCTTTCCTATCTGTGGGAATTGTCGAATGTGTACTCCTTTGTTCATGAACAGTTGTTTTAGAACGTGTAAGAGGAGCATTGTCATGCAGGAAACATCTTCATAAACCTACTAAAAAACTTTAGAATTTGATGGTCTGATCAGCCATGTTATGAAAAGATTGGTAGATGATTGTATAGTTTGTGGACTCAAAGGGTTTGATTTACTAAAGGAGAGTGCCAAATCTGGTGCAAGCTGTGCATGATAACCAATCAGCTTCTAACATCAGCTTGTTCAATTAAGCGTTAACAAAAAACCTGGAAGATGAATGGTTAATATGGAGAGCTGCACCAGATTTTGAATTCTCCAGTTTTAGTAAATCAACCCTTGAGGCTGGTCATTAATGATGCGATTTTCACTCGAAAATTACTCGATTCCCCCATCAACACAATCAGCCTTGATGCGAGGAACCCTTCCCACTGAGCTATTATGTTCTTCAGGTGGGTATAGCCACTGGCAAAAATCGCGTGTACAAATCCGACCTGCTGGCAATCACTCTGCCCATAGATGGTTTGAATCTCGACCAGTCTCTGCTGAACTGACCGAGATTCAGACCATGTATGTCTGGCTTAAGTGTCCGCTGCCGACACAACCTAGTTCACAGGATCTTCTCTTCTGCTAAATTTATAAAACTTGTTTGAGAGTTCAGAAAAAAGGGGTTGGAGTGCTGAAATTACACTCTGCAGAGCTGTGAGAGCTTATTGGAGGGAAGAGGCAACCCCCTCCACACAGCTTACAGAAACACATCTGAGGCTGTCAATCTGCTGGAGGTCCCTCCCCTGTCACCTTTTTTTCTCTTGGTGTCAGGAAAACCTCTCGGAAGTGATTCATGCTGATAGCAGAGGAACATAGCAGCATACAGAAATTACACCTAATGCTCTTAACTGAGACAAGTACATACTATAGAGGGATATGCTTTGTTCATATTTCATTGCAGAAGTTATCAACCACTTAAAGGCAAAATGAGCATGCTTGACTATATCACAGTTAAAGAAGAGTTTAAGCCCTGCTTATTTGCCTCCTCCCCCCTCCTTTTGGGAGGGGGGGAGCGGGTACCTGGTTTTGACAGGTGCCTGATCCCACTTCCGGCTCAGTTCGCCGTGACCCCCGCACCCGGAGCCATCTGGGGCACTTAACAGGTTGCTTTGCGCATGCACAGTAGGAAGCTGGCTGTGAAGCCGCCAGTCTTCACTGACGGTTTCCCTTAGTCAAGATGGTGGCACCAGAACCCGACAGCCGATTGAAGAATCAGCTTTGGGTGAGGACACCATTGGATCCCTGGAGAAGCAAGTGCCCTAATATTAAAAGTCAGCAGCTACAGTATTTGTAAATCCTGACTTTTAACTTTATTGGGGGGGCTGGAACTCTGCTCTAATCTACATGAGGTTTGTGCCTGATCTGAACGACAATTGCTTCTGGGAGCAACTAGGAGATCTCATGTGAACAACAATTAATGTTTTTCTCTTTAGCAGAAGGGATTGAGCTTTTTATTTTTTTTGCTATGCCCTGTCAAAGTTGAGCAGTACTGGAACAGTCGGGTTGTGTCGGAGTGCTGAAAATCAACTTGAAGGATCAGTTTTTTCATTATAACGATATCAAAAGGCTTTCCATATAGAGCTTGATTTTGTTTGCTGCCAAGGAGTGCAACAGTTTCCAAGCAATAGTGAGCGCTAATATATAGCTGAAATTTGGGATACATCTCTGATATTTCCCACTGTGATAGTAAACTTATGCAAACAGTCAAGGCTATTCTACAAAGAAAAATTATCCTATTAAAGAGGATTTGTTAATTCATTCTTCTGATCCAGACACCCTGCCAACAGCATAGCCAAGTTGCTTACCTCACTTTCTTGGGCAGTTGCACAATACAACTTGGTCACCAACCTACTGCCACTTTGCAGATTTGGGAGAGACAGAGAAAGCAAAAATAAAAACGTAACCAAATGAACTTTAATGACTTTATATATATAATATAGGTAAAATTAAGGGCATTATGTTGGCTTTTTCAAGAAGATGAGAAGAAGCAGGGAGCAGATGCCCCTCAAACACCGGCATTTTGTTTTGCTTCTCATATACATCATGCAGCATGGATTCAGTGACTGTGGAATTTTTGCATCACTATGACAACATGGAGTTATTCTTGTATTAGACATAAAAACATAACGTAATGAGGATATGGGAGGTGAGAATGGAGGTCCATACACAAGACGTTTTTCTGGTTGGCATCTGGTTACGAAGAGAGTGAAGAAGATTTTTCTTTTCCTTGTAGGGTGGTTCACTATACTAAAATTTTACACAGGGTGCAGCTTTGGGTATAACTGATCATTTTCAATGAGCACATCTTCCTATAAGCCTTTCATTCTCTTTATATGTATATTTTTACTGTTCTTTTCTTAATCTCTGGTGTCTGATGTTACCGTGGTAACCGTATGGGCAATGCTGTGCTCTAGGGAAACATCCGTTTAACCTCAGCACTGGGAATTCCAAGCTAAAATCATCCTTACTGTAAAAAACAAAAAAACAGCACATCGTATTCTTCCTTCATTTAAAAGCAATTAGAAGGCACTTAAAATAGAACAAAAATTTGCCAATATCGAAACCAATTTTAAATCCTGGTATAGTTTTAATTTGATGTTTTTGATTTGGACTGAAAGTCTGGCTCTCTAACATTCAGGGATTCAAAATATAAGCACTAGAATTATCAGGGATTTAGCCAAGTGGCTTCTTGTGAAAATTATGGAGGCTGGAGCCCAGTGCAACCTCTTTAAAAGGTTTCTGCACATTTCCAAGTAGTAATTGTGCTTTGAAGTGTTACCTCCTATTGTTCCATTCATAATTCAATTCCTTAAAAAATGTTAATGCCTCGTACACAGAATGAGTATAATACAGATGAGAATATTGGACAGAAAATAACACTTGCAGGACGATTGTCTGATAATTTGATTGTTAGTACACAGCTTTCGAGAGCCAATCATGATAGTTCATACAACAATATCCAAAGGGAGAAGCACGAAAGTTTTTCTCGTACAATAACCAAACAAACAATTTTTGTTTAATTAGTACAGTATTCATCCATAAAAAATCGAGTGGCCAAGACCACACATGCTCAGAAAAGAAAGAATACATTACAATACAATACATTAACCTCTTAGCGCGCCGCCGAACGCAAATGTGCGGCCTTCTGGCATCTGGGCTTAGACGCCGAGCGGCCGCACATTTGCGTTCTATTAAAAAAAGACATGTGCTGAGAGCACGCACCCTGCATGCTCCCAGCACACGTCTGGTACTCACGGAAAGGTCCCGATCTCCTCTTTCGATCATGTGACTGCTGTGATGTTGTGTCACGGTGGTCACATGACTCTAAACCCCGCCCCGCCTTCTGGCTTCTGAAACCCTTAAA